AATAAAGTAAATCCTGAAAGCCGCAATCATTACTGTAAAATATTCATATTTCGAAAGCCAGATATCGACAATTTGTGACTCCATTTATTTCTATAATTTGTACTTAACTAGCATGAGGGATGACTTAATTTCATAACAAAGTGACGAAAGGTACTGTACCTTAATCCCACCATACTCTGTAACCACCACCACCGCCTCCAGTTTGCAAACTGAGTGGGACGGCAAGAAGACCTAAAACGGTACCACCACCCCCTCCAATTCCGCCTCCTATTCCACCTCCAAATCCACCTCCACCTCCACCTCCAAATCCACTTCCTCCTCCAAATCCACCTCCTAATCCAGCACCTCCTCCTCCTCCAAACCCACCTCCACCTCCAAATCCACCGCCTAATCCAGCACCTCCTCCAAATCCACCGCCTAATCCAGCACCTCCTCCAAGTCCACCTCCATAACCACCGCCGCCTCCATATCCTCCACCACCTCCGAGCCCACCAAGGCCAACAGTAGCAACCTAGTTGTACATCAGTTGTTTGTCTTATAACTACATCCAACAAATGAGATCGATAAATAAGAATCATGACAAAAATTTTTGTTTCGACGTTAAACCCCCAAAGCTTGATATTCCTAAGTCTAAGCCTTAGAGTGAGTATACTATTTATAATATTGTTAGAAATTATAAAACAGCAAATACATATAAAAGTAACTTAGTGACTCTGCTCATGCTGCGTTTGGAATTTTGGAAAGTAATGAATAGTATTGTGAAAAATATCATAAACAGATCTAATTGTTTTGTGAAAGTAAGTAAATTATTTCCACAGAATTCACTATTGCTAAATAAACTTTTGGGCAGAAAAATCAAAATATTTCAAATAATATATTACTCCAAGAGTAAGTCCACCTCCACCACCACCACCGCCACCACCTCCGTAACCACCGATTCCGTAGCCTGTAGCCTCAGCGTTTAGTTCGTCTTCAGACTTTGATTTTCCATCCACCGGCTTTCCTTCCACAAAGATTGTTGCTACCAGGAACGACAGCACAATGAAAGCCTAAATAAGATAAGAATGTTTTTACTAATATCACTGGCTTCTGCAGGAACATACTGTCAGTGTTACTATGTTATTCAGATGGGTGAAGCGGTCAGTAGTTTTACTGTTTAATTTGATTACTACTTAAATGTCGTTGTTTCGAGTTTTCCTTTTCGTCAAAGTAATTTCAAATATCAACCTAGTGTTAGGTTTGAAATATTCTTTGTTCAACACATTAATGGAAATATTACAATTAGAAATTGAAAAGTTGTGGTGAAAACGTCTGCATGAAAAACCTACAGATATGAGTTCTATGGTGAACGAATATTCACACAATCCACCTGTATTCACACAATCCACCTGTCAGTTACTATAATACTTCAGCGAAACAAAATACAAAATCAGACATTTGTTCATAATGTTATACACCTTACCTGCTTTTTGATAGCCATGTTATTCAAACCTGTTGCTTAAGTTATCCTATGTATATTATGACTTATCAGATACTTGAAGTTTCTGTTTCTCTGATCGAGAACATCAAAATAATGCTAGTATTTATACTCAGAATACAGTGGAAAAATCTAAAGATCTTCCAAGAAAATCTATAATTGTGTTAGTTGAGTAAGAGCACAAGTTACATTCATGTAATACCTTTTTTGGGTGTTTCATGCTTCGTTATTAGTCAGAGAAAGAAAAATACCAAACGTACAATTGTCTTACTACAAAAGCTCCGTCAGCTAGTAATTAGAAGTGTTTCCTGTTTTTGTCGATTGAAATTAAATAAAAACAAACATTTAACGACTAAGTTCTTACAATTTTTTCCTTTGACATTTAAGATTAAAATTTTCTAGAATTTTTTTTATTTTTTATTAGAAGGGTTTTGTATTTTCGCATAATTCTGAATGATTATGTATAGTTTTGGCAATAGTGTTAATCTCATTATTATAGATGTTGTTTCTCGAGGTTTTTCTTGTATCGATTGAGCACTAACCAACCTAATCTTACATATTACTTTATTTAAGTACATCTTTTTTTTTACAGATAAACCAAAGTTAAACCACACAAATTCAGTAGTTGTTAATTATATGAATTTTTGGCTTTTACAATTGAATGTGTTATTGCGACTTCATATTTTGTGCTTTATTCCATGCTTCGTTTCCTTAAGGGAGCAAAGAGTGTTCTCAATTCTAGTAGAACACACAAAAAAAAACGAAAAACAAATCAGGTCACCAATTTTGCAGCCGTCACCTCATCCCACGTTAATACTGACCAATCACAGGCTCACAAGCGATTCAACTGTGAAAAGGATATTTGATAACAGTGACTGCCATGCCATTTTGTTAACGATTACCACACGTTCATCTTATCGTGAAGAGAAACAAACCGTGTGTTCCGTTTATACCTGTCACAGTCGAGTTAAAACAACGAAGCAAACTAAAGATTATTGTTACACGCACTTAATGCAATCAGACAAGTTATTTCAGACCTAAAGGATTTCATCTCTCCAAAACTCGTCTCTAAGTTAGTGTGTAATCATTCGAAACTAAAACTGTAAAAGTTTCGGTTTGAGAAACTGACGAGAACGTCCTATCTTGTTACATTACGATATTCTTCTCCAACAACTTTCCGTTACTTCGATTTACGAACGTAATTTTCTCCCTTCTTCAGATGCCTAACTTAAAATAATTATCGCAAGGTATTCTGGTCTTTGTATCCTCGTGCATATTTTGCACTTCTTGAAAATCACTCTGGAGAGATGCTACAGAGAAGTGGAAATCACTCTGGAGAGATGCTACAGAGAAGTGGAAGGCGTCAAACTTTTTTTATTTTTTTTTTATTTTACTTCAAAATTTTAGAAAGTGGTGTCTAATTACTGTAAAAATAAGAAATAATAATACATAAGAAATCGCGATTTACGCAGTGTGGCCGTGGGCGCGTTATAAGGGTGACTGTCAAATCCCACTACTTGGTCAGACAAGAATAGCTCAAGATTTGGCGATGGTTGTTGTTGATTAGCTGTCTTTCTTCTGGTCCGTCAACTCAATATTAGGGACTGCTAGTGTACGTAGCCCTTGAATAGAGTTGCGTAAATATTTATAAATAAGCATTAAGCTATATATATATAATTTGTAAAAGTTTTGTTAAATTTCTGTGACGTAATTGCTATTTTCTTAAGAATAAATGTTATAGTTTTCCGTAGGTTTTGCCGAATATTTTTAGAATTATGAAAGTGAAATACTGACCACATTTTTACGTCAAATAATTAAGCATGATAAAAAGCATAAAATCAGTTTACTCCTGAAGAAGAAGGGTCCACCTTTCGAAAGCGCTCGGGTTGTAGAGTTTTATCGTCTTATACAAAGTCTTCTTGAACCTACGTGTTTTTCTGACATCGTGCAAATATATATATAGGTGTGTGTATCAATCTTGATAAAAAGAGTTAGCACAAAGGATCACATATAAAGTGTAATAAATTT